TTTTAAAAGGGAAATATCAGGGTTCTGTTTAGACCCCCCAATATTTCCCCCAAAGCCCCTAAAAGTAAAGTAAAAAATAAAAAACATTTAAAAGTTTATAAAAAATAAATAAAAATAAAATATTTTTAAATGTAAAAAGAAAAAAAAAAAAGTTAAAATAAAAAACAATTTTCGGTTTTGGGGCGATTTTTTATTTCAGATTGGTTTCGGTGCACCTCTACTCTCCCTCACACTTCCCCATAGAGATGTACAGCCATCATTTCCCCAAACTGCCAAATAATGACTCTGCATCTGGCAATAGCCACACAGCTGAAGACCCCCCCCCAACACAAGCATGTTCCGTGTCCGGGGTAAATGTGCATAAACACGCCACCCTGACAACCGGTACACAGAGCGTACACAGCGACACCCGAGCCTGCGGTGTCACAAGCAGCAGAAACATGAAGCAATCGCAGCTGACCATATCACTCCGTGCCGAGAGCAGGGCACTGATCACACCGCCAGTCCGTGCCCCAGCGCTGCAAACACCTGCGCCCCATTCTTCCATTACTGGAGACGTCCAATTCTTCCCTCCGATACGCACGACACGTGTTCAATCCTGTGGGTGGTATTAGTATAAACCCATTTATAACCTCAGACGTGCGCTGGTACCGCCGGAGCATGCCAGGCAATCCAAAGCACCCCAAACCCCGATGGGCCGGCACCATGTTCAGCACCCCGAAACCTCTGAAGAAGCCCCCCAATGGATGTCTTATAATGGATTAGGAGAAGAGAGCCCACCCGGCGGGGGTCAGACAGGCTCTGGTGAGGTGTATGGTCCCCCCGCAGAGGAAGGATTAGACCGCTTTCCGCAGCCAGCCGTATAGAGGACGGTGACCCCCCCAAACTACTCCATGGTGTCAGCCATCGCCCCCCACAATGACGGCGTGCTGACTGCAACCTGCAGCCGATCTGCCTGCAAACAGGATGAAGAGTCACTTCCTCAGCAAGACGATCCACCATAGAAGAGCAAGATGTCTATCAAAGGTGCCCCCCCTCCCCCCCAAATGACAGCCGGGCCCGTATACAACTACAATACCCATCATACAGAGACAAAGGTCGTCCCGATACAAAGCGCAGATTCTGTTAAAGTTTCTTCAGAACTTAGATTTGTATAAAGTTCATATGACGTCATTACCCCGCACCGCGTGTTCCCTGTACACTGACGTGTGCCGATCTTCTCCTTACATAAACCGGCATCACAGGGAGGACACATTGTATTAATGGGGACCGCAAACTGACACGCAGCAATCCTCCAGAACACACAACACGCAGAAAACATAACAAATGATCCAATGACAGCACACAGAGGAAAGAGGCGTTGCACTAAACTGCTCCTTGTGTACATGCTTCCACAGCGGCCTCAGGCAGAAGTTAGTGCGTTCCATGCGATCACCTTACCTCCAGTGTAAAGGGCTGCCGCAGGACGGGCTGGCCGGATTGCTGAAAAAGGCGTCCAGGGTGCCGTCTGCGCTGTACGGGGGTTTGAGGTGCTGCAGGTTCGGAGCGGATGCAGGGGAACGCATGCGTTGCTGCGCATCACTTCCTCGGCACAGGGCGGTCAGGGGGGAGAAGATTCTGACGGTACCATAAAAAGCCAACGTTAGGGAATTGTCCAAATTCACAGCGACCGTCACACGACAGAGGAGCTCCCCG